CCGGTAAACCAAGAGAGGTATGTTCATTGGCTCTTTTTAACTCTTGGCACCAAAAGCATCTTCCGGAGTGCCCAACCACTAACAGGGACTGGCAGTGACCCTTTCTGCCCAGTTGGTGTCCAAAGGGTCCCCCTTCCAGGTCTTCAGCACCCTCCACAGAACTCAGCCCCTGGAGTGGCCCAGGAACCCGTTTTCCAGACCAGCACATTGATGCCTCCAGATCGCAGAGGAAACCCAAGGCACCCAAGTTCTGGGAGCAGGGCTCTCTTTCACCTGTCAGGAACCCAGAACTTTTTCCTTAAGATGCCAGCAGAGTTAGGAAGAGGGTAGAGAAAAGGAAGGCTCACTCTCACCTGGAGTTGAGATGTCTCATGCACAGGTCCAGAAATACCCACCACATACACAAGGGCATGTCCCATCAATTACCCAAAACATAAGCAGAAACAAACTGACAGTGATGCTGGTGTCCACTGCTCACAACCCACAACTGCACCAGTTACACTCCAATTTTATCTGCAGTCCAACAGCACCTGAAAGACACACCCCGCTTCCACACTCAAACCCCCAGGGGCCTTTGCCATATGTAGCATTCACAGACACGAGAAGCCACGCAGTGTGACCCCACAGATCCATAGACCACATTGGTACCCACATCCCAGGAAGGGACAGAGGTGTTTACACACATACACACACAGAGTTTACTACCCTTAGGACTGCTAAGATCTAAGCCAGGCCCAGCACTCCACCCACTGGCGCGCACTAATACGGGGGGGGGGGGGGGAGACGCACAGCAGGAGGGGGTGAAGCTTCACAAAACCCAATCGATAGACACACGCACGAGTTGTACACAAAGCCTCGGGCGCGCACATACATCCACGCTGTTAAACCCAAAGTTCCTCGCAGAAAGCCCCAGCACCCCGGGTGCCCGCCGCACCCGCGCGCAAGCCAGCCCGCGGCTCACACCCCCTGCTCCTGCCCTGGACCACAAACGCCGCCGGGCCAGGCCAGGCCAGGCCGGACCAGGCCAGG